ATTTTTAAAGTAATCACAAATGCTTCTAGAATCAATATTTATATCCTGGATTTGAAATGACATTTAAATATCCATAAAATAATGTATACCTGAACCCCATAGCTCTTTTCTCTAAGTTTTAGCCTTGCTGCACCTTGCCTAAGAGTATCAGAAATACTGCCAGCAACCAGAAAAATTAGAATGACACTCCATAATAAAAACCAAATTTAATCACAGGTGATTAAAAGTGGTAAGCCAACAGGCATGAACAGCTGCTGTTCAGTTGTTTTAAAATAACTCATCAAAACACAAAATATTTATAAATAGCGTAAAAACTATACTACCAACAGTGTCCTTTCTGGACCTTATTCATTAGAATACATTACTGATTCAAATTTAAATTTTAAGGACTGGCCAAATAGCTCAGTGAATTAAAGTGCCTGCTAGCAGATGCAGGAGCCGGGGTAATCCCAGCTCTTGGGAGGCTGTAAACAGGCAGATCACTACAAGTCTGATCTAGTAGTGAGACCCTGAACACCCTATAGACCCTTCCCTAAAATACAAAAAAAAAATTAAATTTTAAAAATTACGTTAAGGATTATTACTCCCACCCCCACCCGTAGGACTTTAGAATCTCAAGCAAATGGCACAGTGCCTGATACAAGGAAGGCACTCGTTTTCCAGTATTGTAATACTGGTATTAGAATCTGTACTCTTACTCCACGGATGTCACAGATGCTATACACCCAGCACCCAGCTCTTACATTTCTGTGGTTCATGTTACAATTAATGAACCAATACCGATCCATTATAACTAACTTAAATACACATTTTACTTGGTACCTTAGTTTCTACTATTTTCCCGTTTCAGGATCCCAAATAAGACAGCTTAATCTACACATGATCTTGGCTATACTAATTTGCCTTCCCTTGGGGAGAGGGTGCATAGCTCAATGGTGGGGTATCTCTGCTTCGAGAGGCCCTGAGTTTGATCCTTGATCCTCAGCACCACTAACTAAAGCAAAAATATAAATAAGTAAGTCAATAAAACTGGCCTGACTTCTCTTGCAGAAGGACCTTTGGTTGGATTTGCATATTTCTTCTCATGGTTTGTCTACGGTTGTGAGTTTTAAAAATGCAAAGAGCTATTGTCACCATACCCTAATAATTTTTTTTTTCTTGTATCAGGGATCGAACATGGACCTTGCACTTGCCAGGTAGGTACTCATACTGCTGAGCTATCTCTCTGGCCCGCTTCTTGTTTTTTGAGATAGGGTCTTGCTATGCAGTGTAAGAAAGCCTTGAACTCATGTAGCCCAGGTTGGTCTCAAATTCATGGAGATCCTCTTGCCTCAGCCTCCATCCTGAGTGCAGGGATTAACAGGCATGTGGTACCATGCCCAGCTGTAAATATTAACATTAACTTTTCTTTGACCATGTTTACACCGATCACCTGACTAAATAAGTGTAGGTCAGCATTCACTGTAAAGTCATTTGTTTGAATTCCTTTGCATGCTCTTCAGAATGAAGTCACTATACATCACTTCAAAGGAGTGATGAGTTTATTTCTACCTCTTTAAGGAGACTAAATACAGAAATCATGTTTTCTGTATGAGTTATTCTATTCCATTTATTTCATCATTTATCAGAACAGACTCATGCAGCTACTCTCTTAATTCAATGAATAGAAAGATTTGTTCTAATATGTCTGTGGACAGGATAACATGTTTGCATCTTATACAACAAATAACCACTAAGACAACAAAATGCAATATAGTAATTATTGAAAATGTTCTACTAATTGGTTTTGAAATGGTCTCATTGCTATTTCTCAATAAAATTATTAAAAAAAAAAAAAAAAAGAACAGACTCATGGATTTTGGATCATAATCCAGTAACAAAAGGTGTTGATGGAACTGCTCTAGTTTTCACTACTGTAAGCGTACAATGGGCTTGGGAGCCTATTTGCTACACTTTCAAGTGACATTTGCATCCTATTTTTTGAGCATTCCTTACTTTCTGTCAGTACAGGATACTCCTAGTTTATTTTATTAGAGAGAAAACTATTAGAAACCAAAATAGGGATGTTGGCTGTAGATTTAATTTCAAAGTTTGAGAGTGTTGTTGAGAACTTTTTATTGCCACAATTTGCAAAATAAATTAAATACTACCATTTATAGAAAAGTGAACTAAACTAATTCCTCATCTTTAACTAGTCAAGTACTTCCCACTGAAGTCTTGTGTTTCTATACATGTATTCAACAATCGATCTACTATTACCCTTAAAGAGAGAAAATATGACATTAAGACAAATTAGGCCAGGCATGGTGGTGTATTCCTGTAATTCCAGCACTAAAGAGGTTGAGGCAGGATTGCTTTGAGTTTGAGGCCAGCCTGAATTAGACAACAAAACCCTACTGAGAGAAAGAGAGAGAGAGAAAGAGAGAGAGAGAGAGAGAGAGAGAGAGACAGACAGACAGACAGACAGACAGATAGATGAGGGTCAAGAGTACTGTAATCCCATACTCCCAGCACTTAAAGGCTAAAACAGGATTGCTGCTCCTTCAAGGCGAGCCTGAACTATGTGCCAAGACCCTATCACAAACAAGTGTCTAGTTTGCCACTTTGTTTACCCAATACCCACTTAAGGACAGGGCAAAAAGAGCAGAATTATTATCTTTTTTTTTTTTCCCCAGTACTGGAGAGTGAATCAGGGCTTTCACACTGAGCTGTATCTCTAGCCTTACTTATATTTTAAAGTTTGAGATAGGATTTCACTAAGTTACTTACTTGGCTAGGCTGGGCTCAAGTAAAATTGTTATCTGTCTCAACCCTCCTCCCAGAGTACCTGAATAAAGGGTATGTGCCACCAAGCTTGGCTTTCAAGGTGGTCTAGACAAAGTGACATTCTGAGATCTGAAAGTTCTGTGGATATCTGCTGGAAAGAGTTTGAGATCCAGAGAAACAGGAAGCAAGTATGAAGTATTCAGAGAGTGGGGCACTGGGGCGTGGTGGCACACACCTATAATCCCAGCACTCAAGAGGCTGAGGCAGGAGGATTGTAGAGAGGTAAAGATCAGCCTGGGCTACAAAGTGAACTCAAGGCCAGCCTGAACTGCACAGGGAGACCTTGTCTCATAAAAGACAAAACAACAACAATAAAATATTCAGAGAGGAGTAAAACATGTAGGGAGTTTATAGCTAAGTTAACCCCAAAATAATTTGAGTTTATTAGATTAGAGTGGTCTACAGTATGTGTAGGGTAGCTTGACTTTTGCATTGCTATAGGTAGTAGAAAGAGATTTGGTTATTTTTTGAAAAGATCATTATCAACTGTTGGAGAATAGGTTGTGGGAAGGTAACAAGGTAAGGAAGTTTAATCACAGAGTGGAATGTTGGGGACCCAGGATAATGAGTGCACCAGAAATTAAATGGGTTGATAAAAAAAGGTTCAATCCCAGTATGGGTTAGGAGGTTGGGATGGTACTCCTATTATATAGGCGAGTAAAAATTAGTTGTTTATGAACTTTGGGTGTGAATGATGATTAAGGAAAATTCTTAAGATTTCAGGTTTAAATGCCTTAGACATAAAGTACCATTTCCAGAATTTGGGAAAACTGACACAATTCTTGAAGCCTCAGTTTTACCCTTAAAATGGGGGGAAAATATATGGCTAATCCTTAGTCCTTATCACAATGGTCTAATTACTGAGATCTCTCTTACCACATTATTCACAATAAGCCAACTCCTTCATATTCCTTACAAAGCAAACCCCGAACATATAAAAGTATCCATCACACATGAAAGCATACATTTAGGAACCAGATTCAAGTTCCAAATGAAAATCCCTGCTCACCTTTTTTGACTAGTCTTGGTAAGATACTATTGATAGTCAACTACTGCATTTTTTAAAAACTCACTACCGGGCTGGTGAGATGGCTCAGTGGTCTAAAGCACCTACTTAGAACAAGCTAAG